ATTACGCATCCTCGTGCATGCGTTAGTAATTGAATTTGTGATGCCGTGACACAATATGTCAAGGGCAACATAAGCCAGTAGTGCTTTTGCTTGAAACCACATTAAATTATATCATTCGTCTCACAAAAAGACGATGTCGTTTCCAGCAAAAAGCACGCACCATCGCTAAATTGACTCCATGCTTAGCCGCGACACCGGGGTGGAGCATGATGTGTGCGTCAAAACTTTCGTTTTGTCGGTGTATGTACTTTGCCCGCTGACCTCAAAACGCCCAGATGGAGGTTGAATGACAAGAGCCTAATTTAAGCGAAACTGCCGCACGCTTACATCGGTTAGGCTCTCAGCCGCAAAATCATTTATCGAGAAGGGTTGAAGAGATTTGCAGTGTAGGTGTCTGAGTGACAAAACCATGATAGTCACTGTTAACTGAGATTTTGCCAACGGAAATGCTGGTGCATACACTAAAAAATTTTTACGGTCCTATACAGAAAACGAGCACTATTACGGTGTCAGATTCTCCACATTCTTCTCCTCTTTCCCTTTTCTTCTGACCATGTTATTGTTTCTTCCTAATCCCCACGTTCGTCTAATCTATCCTCGTCCTCCGCTCCTTCATGTATTTCCAAATCGCCTCCTAATTCATTTGTCGCCTCTTCGATCTTCATACCGTATCTCCCCTCCCCCCCACCCCCCTTCTCCTCCTCGTCCTGTCTTCCCCCATGTTGCCACCGTCCGCGCTCATAACCTTCCTCCTCACTTGCTCCTCCTCCTCTTCTTTTCTCTCCCTTCTTCTGTCTCCCTATCCTCGTCTGCTTTTGCCTCCTCATCATCGTCTACTTCATTCATCTTGCTCTTCTCCGCATTCTCCTCCTCCTGCGACTTGCTTGCGTGACTTATGGGGATGTGAATAAAATCTAATTGTTTAGGCTCAACGCCTAGTGAAGTCCAGTATTTGTTAATCTGTAGTCGTTCTCGCGCGCCCCTGTGCCTTATTCGCCCTTACAC